TGACTGTTGGAAACGATGACGATAAGCAACAAGAGTAGCTGCTAGATGTTGGTCATTATCATCACTTATGAGACTATCCACCATTTGTCCCACAGTATCTTGATAAATTGAGCGGCTATTGATATATCAAAGTAGAGCAAAATAAAGAGAAGAAATGTTGTCGACGAAGACATTGTAAGGATGACTAGGGCGAGATGCAGACAACAATGTAACATATATATGATGAAAATTATCTTATCTTGTTCTCTACAATGTAATATCATTTTTTTTTCTTCCACCCACTGGCAGATAATAATGTGTTCATTTATTACAGTTTACATTTGATATTCTACATTGATATATAGTGAGCAATAGTTCGATCTCTATGGTGCCACACAACGGTCTAATCAATAAGGCAAGAATCGTAAACATTCAAACAACTAAAAATTTGTCAATATGATTCGTGAATTAAAAAGAGGATTGAACAGTCTGACAATACTTAAAAGGAAACTATTATTCTTTCTTTTTTTCTTTTGAATAAATATAAAGTATAGCAAGTATTATTGTTAAGTGTTTTGAGATCAAAAAGTACAAGAATAGTTCTTTATTATAAGAAAAAAAAAGAACATGTGTAGAAATGTTCAGGGCACTTGACATCATTCTCTACGACTGTGCAGCATTTCAACGATAGTCGATTTTCATATTGTGTATTTTGTTGCTGTTAATATAGGTACCAACTTTGACTTGCTCAATGAATGTTTGTTGTTGATGAATAGCCCGAATTTCGACAAATGTTAGACAGCGTTTGAAAGCATTGAGATCAGCTATACGAGCTTGGCTAGATACGTCTATTGAGTTGTTATCAAAGTTGGTTATTAATAAATCATTAACCAAATCAGAATAGTGCCTCAACTCACTAAAAGCCATACGATATTGATGGAGTTTTAAAACACATTGTCCATCGATCCATATTTGATAATTTGATCGTGAATCAATTTTCGTCAAGATAAAATGAACCCATCGATCAGCAATTGATACGTTTTTTCCATTGTTCAACTGATATTTTTCATCATCACAAAACAAAATATTTAGACCATTGCCATTTTTATTTCCAATGTGTATGTTTAATTCGTATGGACGAGGTAAGAAAAGCCAGAAGGAGAAAGAATGAGATGAGTTACAGAATGATGAAGAAAATATATGCTCAAAGAGATGTTGATAACCAGATGGTCGTCTTGCCTTGTAACATTCCAAAGTTGAAACCAACATTTACTTGATCAAAGATTGATAGGAAATAATGATTGATCGATATCTGATATTCGCTGGTGTATCCATTGCTCGAAGTAACTCATGCTCAAAGCCAAACATAATGTTCGTGAACGTTTTAGCGATCTAGAAAACCATTGATTGAGAAAATATTCATCGTTCATAATCCAAGACTACCAACAATTACGGACACATGATATCCGAAAAACATCTAACGGCTGGTCAATGTACCAAAGTATGCGATGTAATAATTCGCATGGCAATCGATCCATTCTGTCTGTTGTTGTTCGTTTCGTAGGGTAAAATACTATGTAAAAAGTATCATCATCATATATATAACCTGGTGCGGTTAACAATATACAATAGTTTGCAAAAAAACTTGGTACAATCTGACACGATAAACATTTTCTATTTTCTAGATTCCTTTGATACTTTAGTTTGCTTTTATTGTAGATTTATACTTATCAGATAATCTACTTAAAATATTCATATATTTGATTGATTTCTATTTTATCATTGTTTAATAATAACCTGACGTGGTAATAACAAATAGTCTAAAACTACATCATATTTCTGTATTACATTATTGGAACATGGAAATTCGTTCGGCCAGAAAAATCCACGGAGATACGAAGATACCATTGTCTACAATTATTTATCAATTGAAAAAGTTCCGAACTCAAGGTTCCCTACAACATAGAGCAGGCAATGGTCGAAGACGTAAGATTGGCGCCAAAGCCAGTCGAGCATTAGGTCAATTTATTAGACGAAATAATGAAGTTAAGTTGGACGAATTGGCTGACAAATGACGTAATCAATGCAAATTAACTGTTTCTACCAGTACAATTTCACGCCGTTTACATCATCTTCAATATGAAAACTGTCGACCATTAAATACTCCAATGCTCACACAGAAGCAGAAAGAACGTCGAATTGAATGGGCCAAACAACATTTAAATGATAATAGGAAATCTACAGTATTTATCGATGAATGTTCATATCAATTGTTTAGAAATACAATTCGGCGGTGGTCAAAATATCCAAAAGAAGGAAAAATAAATGTGGAAACCTCGGACTTAAGTCCGAGAGTTATGTGTACTTCAAAAAGTGAATGAGACAAATCAGTCATCCTAGAATGTGTGGATATACAAATTAGCTTGACAAACCTTTTCTATAAACACTTGAATTCTATTGACTACTGCTCAACCAATAGGATTTGCGGGCGAATACAGCTCAGATTTGAACTCTTCGCCTTAATTTTACCCTCAGAAAATCGTTTCTTCTATAACTTGATTTCTATTGGTCAGTGCTCAACCAATAGGGCTTCGAAACAAGTGGAGTACAGATTCAAGTTCTCCACCACAGAAAACCTTCAAGCATCACCTCTTATCGGAAGATAGGGTGTGGGTGTGGGTGTCAGTATAGGTATGGATGTGTGGGTTTGGGTATAAATGAAGCCCACCCCACCCACACCCACACCCACACCCATACCCTTTCTAGCTCGTAAAATTCTCTATCGAATGGTATATAATAGTTGAGGTTTTGTTTGACTATGATAGGAAAATGTTTTTACGAAAGCGGGGATGGATCGATTTTCGCATAGGAAGCCATACGGAAAAATAAGTATCTTTGCAATAACTCAGGAACGGTTCGGCCAATTCTTCTCATCTTCGAACTCGAACGAGATATTGTTAAGACTGAACAGTGTAGAAAATTTCATCGCGATCGAACTCTCCTTTCAAAATTTATCGTGTAAACGGTCGGCCGGACATACTGATCGATTCTAGAGTGTACTCACTTTTTGAGTACACAAAAAGAATTCCGAAAAATCGACAAAAATTTCATGTTTGGGATTCCATCAGTTATTGTGGAACAGTTGGCTTTCATTCATTTCAAAATATTATGGACAGTGATTGTTACATCGAGTTATTAGAAAATAACCTGATTTTCAATGCCAAACGACAATTGGATAATAAATGGAGACTTCAAAGAGACAACGACCCCAAGCACCGATCTGCAAAAACTGAAAGATGGTTGACTGCCAATGTTCCACTTATTGTGGATTGGCCATCTAATAGCCCGGACTTAAGTCCTATTGAAAGTATTTGGAACATCATGAAACGTCGAATGGAAAAAGAAAACCAACAAATGTTAATGAATTCAAAATTTTTATCGATGAAGAATGTAAAAACATGGAAAAATATTTATAATCAATTTGATCAATAGCATGAAAAATAGATGTTTCTTGGTTATTAAATCAAAAGGAGAACGAATCAAATATTGAATTACATATTGTAAAACTGTAGTTAGGCGTTAATATGGGCTAAAGATTTGTACCAAGTCTTTTTTTTTGCAAACTATTGTACATATACTGCGCGTGTATTGTTTTTCATTCAGCTATTAAATAGTGAACATCGGCATGACAACAAGCACGGACATAGTGACAGATCGAAGCTTGAAAATATTTAAATCAGAATGTTATTATAATGACATGCCGGAATGTACGATACAAGACGAAAGATTTCCTTTTCACAGATCAATTTTGTCTTTTCCGTTCTGCGTAATTCGAAGCATTTCTTATGTCTAATTTTCTTTATAAGGACCTTTAGTAGTAAAGTGATTCCACGACTCTTTCTTTGTTAAGCAACGCATTTTTTAATTAACTGCTTTATCTTATTAGTTTTTTTTCATGAGATGCTCAGCTCGGAACTGACACACCGGTAAGACGACGACTTCAACAACGTATTCTCCATGTTGAACTTAGATATTAATATATACATAAAAGCTGAAAAATCTCAACAAATTGCACAAAATTATTTTAAAGAGTCAATTTTTATAGAGACTCTTCTAATGTATCCAGGGCATTACTCAATACATCTTAATGCATAGCGAGTAACAAATATATTTGATTCGATTCACTTAAGTCGATGTGAGGGTTTGTTAACTATTATTATGTTATACACCATCCAACGTTGATCATGTAGGCTGAAGGTTAATAATTTAGGAGCTTTGAAAGTCGACTGTATTTAGGATGCATATATTTTGCTCTTCGTTTATACTCAGTATTATATATTAAGATTCATATCTTTCATCGCTGACAAACAATCATAGTAGATAGTGACCATGACTTTACAATGTTTGCAGCTCCATGGTGTTTTATACTTTAATCCTACACCAATTCGGCTAACTGCTTTTTCACAACTGTCCAAAAAGTTTCTGATAATGTTGATAACATTTTATCTGAAAACATTACATATGTCATATCTAAGTGATTCAAATAAATAACTAACTTTCCAGGTAGATCCTATTCTTTACACTGCAGGACGTCACATCTTCTGCAGTAATTGCGTTCTCTGACGTTTTCTGATTTTCCTTCAATTAATTATTTTTTATTTTTATTTTTAGTTTTCTGGATATGACATCGAACAATTATAGAAATTGTCTTTTAGTAAAATGAAAAAAAAAATGATTACTTTATCAAAAACATATTTCTATATTTTCATTTAAGAAAATTCATTCTAGAAGAAAGATGCCAACATCATTAAGCGAAGAACTTGGTTCTCTTACGCCAACTCTTAATTTAGTACTTGGAATTGGATTTATTATAGTTGGAACCATTGGTGGAATATTTAATGTACTTGTATTTTCTCGATCAACTTTAAGAAAAACATCTTGTGGAATGTATTTCTTAATAGCATCAATATCAAATATTACTTTAGTTATAACTGGACAATTACCTTGTCTGATTACAGTATCTTCAACTTCTCTTCTTACAACATTTTGGTATTGTCAATTACGAGTTTATTTAACGTATTGTTCTAGTTTATTTACACGTTCATTAATTGTTTTAGCTTCACTTGATAGACTATTATTATGTTCATTAAATGCAACAACGCGATCTTTATGTAATGTTAAAATGGCAATACGGATTATTAGAATTCTAAAATTATTTTCATTTATTCTACCAATTCATGTTCTTGTATCAAATAATCTTCATTTACCTTTACGTATATGTTATTCAGATGTTTATTGGTTAAGTATTTATGATATTATATATCAATATATATTTGTTGTTATTTTACCAAGTGGTTTAATGAGTATATTTTCATTTATACTTATTTATCGTCTTCGTAGTCAAAGAATTCGTCTCGCACGTGAACTTCGTACTCGTGATAAACAACTTAATTGGATGTTATTATCACAAGTATTATTTTATACAATTTTTCATTTACCCGTTCCAATCAGTTTAACATATATTCGTACAACACCATCTTTAAAAAGCAGCAATGATCGTATTACAATTGAAAATTTTTTCTCGTTTTTAATTAATACTGAAATAATTTATTTTTATTTTTCAATGACATTTATTCTTAATATAATTATATCAAGAACATTTCGTAAAGAATTTCTTGATATATGGAAAAAAATAAATGAAAACATTTTTCAACTCAAACATATAACACGAATTGTACCTTTTAACCCTCCAACTTTAATTAAATAATTTAACGTATATTATTATAGAAAAAAATTAGCTAAGTGTTGTATTTATGTTACACTTTTTTCCTGCTTGATAAAGTGTTGGAGATAAGAATATTTGAAAGGATGAACCTATTTTAATGATAAAAGGAATGCTATTTAATTATAATAATTTCTATTTCTATTATTATTGTAATGTATTAATATGCTAATAAGTATGCTTTTATTTATACCAAAACCTCTTATGGTGGACACCTCCCTATAGTGAACACTACGTGGTCCGACAGAACGATTTTTGCTGGAATTGAACCTCTGTATAGTGGACGCCTCCTTATAGTTGACACATTTTCACGATCCTTTTCTCATAAATAACCTCTCTATAATGAACACTAAATATAAATTCAAAGAATATGTTGCGATGACGGTCGTTACTCATTCAATATAATGACTCTTTATTCATCGAACGACAGAATTAAAAAAAATATATTCGAGTGGAAAAGAAAGAACACGTCCTTTGTCTTGAACAGGCGAGATGGCTATAAATATAATCGAATTGTTACATTTGTGTCATTTTTCTGTGATTATTAAGAGAAAGAAAAAGTTATATCTATTCGACGTGCCTTAACTCTAGAAGAAAAAATTGCACTAATCAAAGATAATCAAAATGCTCATGGATTATCAGTACAAAAACTAGCTGATAAATATAACATATCAAAAAGTAGGGTGTGGGTATCATTGCGGATGCGATTGTTCGAATGCGACAGCAAGCATCCGCATCCACACAATTGTTTAAATAACGATTTCGTTTTGAAAAGGAACGTATTTAAAATCTGTTATTGAATTTCTTCTGTTGACATAAATTCTTCATTACATTTTAGATAATCATTCAGCTATTGTTCTCCAAAAATATGCACAAAATTTTATTCTTTTTGAACACAAACAGTTCCTATACTATTCACATTACTTTTCTAATTTTGCATAGTTAAAATGAGATTCTTTTTTTTCACAGTATTAAAATCATTTAAGACTAATATTTTTTAAAGTCTTAGTTTCATTTTCAATTCAATAAGAAGTACTAATATTCATAATTCTGAATATGGATAATTGAAAGTCTTGGTTTTTTTTTGAGTGACTTAGAGCGTAGGTATAGTGTAGGCACTAGAGCACTAATTCCTCATACGGTTGCTCACATCCACACCTAAACCCTATTCTATCGACTATCTGGAGATGTGTCCGACTAGAAACAATCATGTTGGAAGTGATGAACTCAATATACTGTCGTACCCCCCCCCCCCACT